TCACAGAAGGACAAATATTGTATTAGTCTGTTACCATAAAAAGCCAAGGGAAGGTTTATACATGGAACAAAATTTTCTTTGCTGGCTACCAGGCACCCCAGCAAGGAATGGGAGGGATGTGAGGGAACACTGTTAGCTAGGTAGAGACAAGTATTGATTTGGTTAAAGAGAAGGGAAATGTATCAAACATGAGTGATCAACATGGTGGCATTGAGCAAGAGGAAGACAGAGAGAGGTACATGGGAGGTACAGACAACAAAAATGAACCCATTTGCACATACAGTACTGCATTGTCAGTGAAGGCAAACATGGATATGTGGGTGAATAGATGGGTGTACAGCCAGGACTATGAGGTGTGTCTATGGAGGGGGGAATGTACCCATACCATGTACAGCCTTGGCATAATGTTTCTTAAAGTGTATTTGTATGTTCTGTAAGAATTCCCAGGTGTATAGTAGAGTTGACAAGGGACAAGTTTGTAGTCACTTCTTGGCCATAGCCAACTACCCAGAGGGAGTGAATTGTTGAACCTGTGGGCTTGGGACATAGTCACAGGGAACATCAAGCTCAATTGGCATAACATACTACACAAAGCTTTGTTCCACCTCCTACTTTGGTGAGTAGTGACTGGTATCTTAAAAGCTTACAAGCAGGCATCTAGATGCAACAATGGGTCTCTCCTCATCCAGAGCAAAGAAGAATGAAGAAAACCAAAGATTCATGGAAACAGTACTAGTGATTGTACCCCCATGCCATCTGCAGCCTATATTATTATGACACAAGAACTAGATGGTGCCTGGCTACCACCGTCAACCACTCAGAGGGGGATGTATGTAGGAGATCCTGGATAGTGTGGAAGAACAATGTGGAATAAAACTCAAAATCTTTATTAAAAAAAGGGGGGGGGACATTGTTTGCTGGTCTGATAGAGCCTGATGGATCCAGGCCTCTAGCTGCCCTTGAGGTCTGGAATTGCACCCACACTTGTGGCGTCTAGTCAAACAAAAGACAGGCATATGAGGTGAATACTAGGTAGAGGTTACACTAGGTAGATACACTCCTTGGAGAGAACAATCATGAGAGAATAGAAGGGCTGTGTATGCACAGGGAGACAGTTCAGGGGAAAGGAGTGTATGGAGGGATGGACACAGGGAAGAGATAACTATCAGGAGGAAATGGGACGGGAGCTGTTGCATTGGGGTAAATTACAGTCAATATCATGAGACAAAGTGTATGTGAACTGCTGTATGGAAAGTGAATTTGCTCTGTAAACTTTCACCCAAATCACAATTAAAAAAAAAAAAAAATTGGATCATTTCCATTGTCAGTGCCATAAAACTGTTCTATCTTATGAAGTTTCGTTGTTTTTTTTTTTATTATTATATATTATTTGTTTTGTAGAAAAGGACTGTTTGAGTGTAATGTAGTGTAAACATTATGGGAAAAGATTCTGTATCATTTTCTGGTAACCCTGTTGGCACAGGGCTCTACTACTATCGTAAAAGATTGCATTAGATTTCATGAGTAGAATCTTCAACTGGGCAACTCATTCTCATATTTACCTCCAGCCTTCTTCTAGGCCGATACATCCCTTCCCACCTGTCTGCTGAAAATTTTCCCACATGCTCCATCCCAGATTCCTCTCCCAGAATATACATTTCTCTTATGGTATATATCTAAATGATAGCGCTGTTGTTTCAGATAGCTACCAGGTCTTCTTCTTCCACAGCTGACATCTACTTCTTTGCCTGCATGTAATATTTCCAGAAAGCACTAAACATTGTCTCCATGGCAACCACCCTACTGTAGGCCACATAATTTCTTGTCTAAAACTTCCCAAGATCCTTCCCAGCCATCTCCTATCCCTGAATGACAATATCTTTTTTGGAATTCCCTCTTCACAGTAGTTTGTGGTTATTTTCTTAAAATAGATACTGGATTTGCTCCTTCATCTTCTCAAACTCTCCTATTGTATAGTACTTTCTAGGGACTCAGGAGTCCTTGGGTGGCACAAATGGTCCCAACACCACCAAAAAGTGGACATATTTTGGGGAGAATAATTTGAGATGAGACCTGTGTGGAAAAATTGACAGTGGTACTGTGGAAGAAGGGCTTGCTGTAATTCCACAAAGATGATAGTCAATATGCAATTCAGACCTACAACCTTTTTTGGGGTCTATAAATTCTCAGGTGTGGTCACAAATGAGAAATGCAGGCTTTACTGAATCAGTAAGTTTTGACCACATCAGAAGGTGTAGCTTCACAATTACTTCCTCAAAAGGAGAACTTCCTGGAATAGAAAGGAATGTGAACTAGGGAACCTTGTTAAAATGACCTTAGTGTATGTTGGTAGAAAGGGAGCACGTAATATGTGGAAGATTATTTGGAACTCCTATGGGAATCTTCTGTGGGAATTTCTCTTTACGCTCAAGTGGTATAACTCAGTAATGCTATTGATTTTGAAGAATACACATAAAAGGTTGCTGTTGGGATTGTTGATGTTGGAGGACATGGAGTCAATTCCAATTCACAGTGACCTCATATGACAGAGTAAAACTGCCCCACAGTGTTTCCTTGGCTGTGATCTTTCTGGAAGCAGATAGCCAGGGCTTTCTTCTGAGGAGCCACTAAGTGGGTTCTTCAGAGTCAGGACTCATTTTAAATCCCTCAGTGCTTAGGGGATACTGAGCTTCTGTTAAGAGTGATGGAAAAATTTGGGAACAATGGTGATGCTTGAACATCACAATGAACAAAATGAAAGTCACTGATCTGTACATGTGAAGATTGTTGAAATGATGAAGGTTTTTTTTTTTGTTGTTGTTGTTGTATTTGTTGTGTTGGTTGTTCTTCAGCCAATTACAACTCATAGTGACCCTGTAGGACAGAGGAGAACTGCCCTATAGGGTTTTCTAGCCTGTATTCTTTATGGGAGAAGATCACCAGGTCTTTCCCTTATGAAGTTCTTGTGTGGATTCAAACTGCTGACCTTTAAGTTAGCAGCCGAATGCTTAAAGATTGCACCACTAGCGCTCCTTGTGTATATATTTACCAAACTAAAAGAAGTAAGAAAATGGAAAAGCTAAAAGAAAAAGAGCTAAACTTTTGAAATGTGATAGGCTGAACTCCGTGGGAAGCTTTCAGTTATGAAGTATTTGGTCTCTTCTGTGGATTTCCTCCTCAATTACACCTCTCTTAGAGCTACCCACAGCTTATTGTAATTGACATGTTCCCATTGCTGGCATCCCCGTGAAGCCCAGGAAAGAGTTACGATTCACAGAACTGCAATCTGGACAGCTGGAGATTAAGCGGTCCTTAAAATTCAATATTTCCACCGTGCCTGTCATCTACATGGTGTGGAGATGGTGGAACTATGGAATTCATCACAGTGAAGATGATGCTACCCACTGGCAGACTGTGGTTCAGGTGAGTGCTGTAGACATTCAACATTCCCCTCTGAGGTAATGTCTCCTCCTGACAGGAAATTTAGCCCACACTGGCTCTATCAACAGTTTTACCACTGAAAACCAAACTAGACCATTGCCTTTGAGTCAACTCTGACTTATGGTGACTTCATTTGTGTGAGTGTAGAACCGTGCTCCAGAGTTTCCATGGCTGAGAACTTTCAGAAGTAGATTACCTGGCCTTTCTTTTCAGGTGCCACTGGGTGGGCACAAGCCACCCACCTTTAGTTTAGTTATGTAGTAGTTAACCCTTTACACCCTCCCCTGTCCCCCAGGGACCCTAGTTTTGCTAAAGAAATAATGACATGTGGAAATGTTAATAGAGAAGAGAGAAAGAGCTCCATGCATACAACCCAGTAGCGCCACAAAGGAGGCCATTCACTTCATTTGTTGAGAACCCATGTTGATAGGAGATAACTTTTTCACAAACTCCACTCACTCACTACCCTCCAGTCAATTCAACTCATACTGACCCCTCCTTGAATTTCTTTACAGAACTAGATTGTCCAATCTTCCTTCTGAGAAGTGGCTGAAGGGTTTGACAGGAAGGGAAATGCAGTGCTGGAAGGAGCAGTTAACCTGATACTTGATCATGTCAATGACGTATCATGTATCCCCTCCATATTCACACCTTTGTAACAGACAAGGACCTAAGCAGCAAGGAGTAGGACTGATAGCACAGAACTCCTATTGCGTGAGAAGTGAGCAACACATAAATCTTCACCAATGGCTTTTTTTCTTCTTGCTCTTTGTAGATTTAACCACTTACACATCACCTGCAGGGCCCCATTGCCAGAGTTTATCTTCACCCTACTCCCTCCTCTGTTGTCTCCTGAATGAGAAAACCAAAATATATTCTTTCTTTTTAAGAGCTATCATGTGGACTACCAGGTACAAGAAAATATGCTGCTGTTTTTGCCTCCACATGTTTGTTGTTGTTGTTGCTATTGTTGTTGTTGTTAGTTGCCGTTGAGTCACCTCCAACTCACAGTGACCCTATGCACAGCAAAATGAAACACCACCCAGTCCTGTGCCAGCTCCACAATCCCCGCTATACTTGACACCATAGCCACAGCCACAGCCACAGCCACAGTGCCAATCTGTCTCGTTGGGGACTTTCCCCTTCTTTGTAGACCCTCTGCCTTACCAAGCATGACATCCTTCTCCAGGGAATGGTCCCTTCTGACAACATGACCAATGTAGGTGAGACAAAACCTAGCCATTCTCCCTTACAAGGAGAACTCTGGCTTCACTTCCTCCAGGACAGATTTGTTAGTTCTTTTAACAATCCGTGGTACTTTCAGCATTCTTTGCCAGCACCACATCTCAAATGTATCAGTTCTTCTTCAGTGTTCTTTATTCGTTGTCCACCACTCACATGCATATGTGGCAATGGAAAATGTCGTGAATTGTGTGAGGTGCAAGAAAATATATGATCTCAGGAAAAGAACAAATTCTTAATGCAGAGCACCATTCTGCTTTTCAACAACCTGAATGCTGCCTCCATATGTTTGTTTATGGGGAAAACTTCTCCCCTCAGTTCATCACATTGTTTTCCTTCTAGACTAGATCCCCTTTTTTGAAAAATAGACTAGATTTCAATAACTAAATGTATCAAAGAGGATTTCTGAATAGGAATATCTCAAAGGGGATAAAACTCACAAAATCAAAAGACCCCCAAATTAGGTAAGAGAAGTTTGATGTAAATGAAATTTCTTAAGTTAGAAAAATCTTGGCCCAGTAAGTTTAGTGTTGTGAAAACATAATCTTGTTCTATTTCTATTTCATAAAAAAGAATTTGCTTTAATGAAGCATAAAGCTGCACAGATGCTGCCAAAAACAATGTCATTTGCATGGAATGCTCCCTTCAACAATGGGAGTTTCATTTGTAAATTTTCATAATTATTGAGACATTTGTGAAAGTGATAATAAGAGCACCTTTTTTTTTTTCACTCCCTCCTTCTTTTTTTCGAGAGAGGAAAAACTTTGAATTGTTATCATTTTCTCAAATTAACACCACCAATAGTGCTTCCCTTTTTGGCTGTTATTCCATAGGATGTCACACTGATGTTAGTGTTTTAAATCCACAGCAAAAGTTCCAAACAAGGAAGTCAGAGAGGTATTCCTGGAAGTTCCCCATCTCAGGCACAAATCACCATTTATGTGTTCATGGTCTTCCTTGGATCTCAAGATTGGGTAGCTTCTTTTACATTGAAATAAATGTGACACTCTGCCTCAGTACAGCCCTACAAATGGAGGTTTGGGAGGGTTCTAATTTGACTCTGCTCAGCAGCTGCCTTCACTGAGAGCCACCAAGTAGAACTGAGGCCCAGAATTGCTCATAGTTACTCCATGAAATTCAAAGCCAAGGTTCTGAGATCTAGCAATGAAAACAAAACACAGAACATTCTTAAAGGCAGGTGTATTTGCCTATAGGTTGATGAAGGAGGGAAGGAGGAAGACTGTGAAAGTTACCAGATATCTTGGAACTGTAGAGACAGCCAAACCCAATATATATATACTAAAGAGTATGTGTGTGTATGTGTTGTATGTGTATCCCCTTTTGGATTCCCTGAGATGCAAACACAGTTAATACCCTTAGATGCTAAATAAAAGTTGGGGTTCAAGTCCACCAGACAGATGTTGGAAGAAACATCTGGGGATCTATTTCTGAAAAAAAGTCACTGGAAACCCTATGGACCCAGTTCTACTCTGACACGTGTGGTGTCACCTTGAGTTGGAGAAGGCTCCACAGCAACTGGTTTGGTTAGGTACTCTTTATTAAAACATAAATTTCATGAATGTTGTATTTACCAGCAGATACAAAACTTCGTCCAAGTATTAGCCTAAGATTTTGACTTCCAGACTTCTTTATTCTCTGAGTTGAAGTATCTATGAATGGAGTGAAGTGAGTAGACTTGTCCCTGCATATCTGACCTTCCCAGAACTCCCTAGATCCCTAACAATGCTTTTCGACACAATTATCCAGAAGGGCAGGTTGAGGTCAAAGCTGAGTTGTGTTAACAAAAGCTAACACAAGTTTATGCACAGACCTAATTATCATATCAGAATTAAAAGCCCTTCTGTGCCATTTCCCCAGACCACAGATGAGAGGGTCCAACTGGCAGACATACGACATAGCAGGTGGTTCCAGCTCTGAGTGGCTGCTGTCAACGTGCATGGGTCCCAAGGATGTACACCCCCCCAGCAAGCACTTCTACTCCTCCGGAGGTTAGTCTCCCTACCCACCCTGGCAATTAATTCGGCTACTCAAAGGTCAGAACTCCTCACCCCCAGGACAAGCACTTCCTGTCCACCAGCAGTTAGTTCTTGTTGTTATTGTTAAGTGCCATCAAGCCAGCTCCGACTCACAGCAATAACAGAATGAAACCTGACTGGTCTTGCACCCAGCCTCACAATGATTTCTATACCTGAGCCCATGGTCTCAGGCACTGGATCAATCCATCTTGTTGAGGGTCTTCCTTTCTTCACTGACCATCTACTTTACAAAGCATGATATCCTTCTTCAAAGAATGGTCTCCTTTGAGGCCATTCCTTGGTCTTTCAAAGTAGGTGAGACAAAGTCTGGCCATTCTCACTTCCAAGGAACATTCCAGCTGCATTTCTTGCAGGACGGATTTGTTAGTTTTACTGGCAGTCCATGGTACTTTCAGTATTCTTTGCCAGCACCACAATTCAAAAGGATCAACTCTTTTTTGGTCTTCCTTATTCATTGTCCAGCTTTCAATTGCATGTGAGGCGATTTAAAACACCATGGGCTTGGGTTAGGTGCCTTTGTCATCAAAGAAACATCTTTGCTCTTTAACACTTTAAAGAGGTCTTTTGCAGATTTGCCCAATGCAATATGTTGTCTGTTTCCTTAAATACTGCTTCCATGGGTGTTGATCGGGGAACCAAGTAATATGAAATCTTTGAAGACTTAAATCTTTTCTCCACTTATCATGATGCTTCTTATTGGTCCTGTTGTGAGGATTTTCATTTTCTTTACATTGAGGTATAATGTGTGTAGCAGACTGTAGTCTTTAATCTTCATCAGTAAGTGCTTCAAGTCATCTTCATTTTCAGCAAGCTTGGTTGCATTGTCTGCTAAGTCATTGCCATGAGATTGCACAGTCTGTACAGCTGAGCATCTTCATCTCCTGCACACTCATGGACAACTGTACTGACGCTCTTTGTTCCCATTTTAAATCTTACTTTCTGTGGGGACATCAATCCATCATCATGATGCTGTCATTAGGTGCTGTCGAGTCGGCTCTGACTCACAGTGACCCTGTGGACAACAGAATGAAGCGCTGCCTGAGACATGGCACTTTTCTCAGAAGCGATGACTTTGTCCTTCTTCCCAGTCTGTCTTATCCTGGAAGTTTCACCATAGGTAACCCTGTTGGTATTTGAAATACCAGTGGCATAGCTTCCAGCATCACAGCAATGTGCAGTTTGACAAACTAACAGAGGGGTTGAAGAGCAGCATGATAACGAAACATCACATGGAAGGTGTGTAGCATGTGTGTAACATGTGTACTGTTGGTGGCTTAACTGTCTCTCTCTCCCTCTTTATGTTCTTGATCTTTGGCAACAAATTATCTGAAGGCTTTTGGGTAAGTCACTGTACTGCTCTAATCCTAAAAACTTTACCATTGAAAAAAATAACAACAACAACAAAAAGTTGAAGCAAATAACTTGTAGACCCCATAAGGGTGTTACCATAATGTGCAGTTGTTTTGTATACATGTGTACATAACGAGCTCTGGTGGCACAGTGGTTAAACACTCGGCTGCTAACTGAAAGGTCAGTGGTTTGAATCCACCAGTGGCTGGGTGAGAGAAAGCTGTGGAAGTTTGCTTCCATACATATTACAACCTTAGAAACCATATAGGGCAGTTCTCCTCTGTCCTATAGGGTTGATATGGGCAAGCATTGAGCCGTCAGCATTGGATATAGTATGTTATTGTATATACAATGAAAATTGTGAGGGCCAAACTTGATGGAACTCTCTTGATGTTTTCAGGTTTTCCAAGTCTTCTACCTTTGACAGGGTGCAGTCTTAACACTTCACTGGTGCTGTTTATAGTGGAAAACATGTGAGTGTTCCTTCTTAGACAGATTTCTAACTTATACAAATTGCAGCTTTCTCAGGATTTACAGATGTATGGATATCAGTTGCTGTGGCATAGATGCCATCTCATGGAAACCTTATGTGTGTCAGAGTACAACTGGCCTGTAGAGTTTTCAGTGTGTGATTTTTCAGATGATGATTGCCAGGCCTTTCTTCGAAGTGCCCCTGGGTGGACTCAAACCTCCAATCTTTCAGTTAGTGACCGAGTGCATTTACCTTTTGCACTGCCGAGGGACTAAGTTGTATGAGGAGTAGAACTGCCCCATGAGGCTTCCAAGGCTACAGTCTTCACAGGAACAGATTGCTAGGTCTTTCTCCCTTGAAGTCGCTGGTAGATTGTAACCATCAAACAGGGTTCCATGTATTTATGGGTAAAGGAGTGCTTGTGTGTAGTTGTGGGGTGGGATTGGGCATGTTGATCTAAGTGAGCTGGAAGCCACTGGATGCTCTATACACAGAAGAGAAATGATGTGTTTGGAGTAATAACGAACCACCTGGCTCCTGGGGGAGGTGGGGCAAGACTGGAGGACACAGTCAGCAGTAGAAGGCCAGGGCCATTCCTGACATGAAATACTTAGGAGGCCTTTGTATGAATGTGGCAGATGATGGTGGCATGGGTCAAGTATGAGACATGGTAAGAAGCGGTTAGATTCCATATTCTGACCATATTCCATATTCTGAAGGTTGTGCTAACACCATCAGCTCAAGATGTGAAAGAAAATTACGTATATGACTCCAGAGTTTTGGGTTGCACAGCTGGAAGAAAGGAGTTCCTGTTACTGAGAAGGGGGCTTCTGGGATGGAGCAGGGTTGAGTAGGAACTGGGAGACATCCTAGTTTGGTATTGGACACAGCTGTTTTGAGATGCATGTGAGACATCATGCAAGTGGAGCCAACAGGAAAGCACTTGAATCCTACAGGGTGAGCTCGGGGTTCAGTCTGCATTCAAGGCAGACATTTGAGATGTTTATCCACATGAAGATGGTTTCTAAAGTGACAAGACTGGGTGAGATCTTCAGAAGTGAGTGAAGATGGCAACAGAAGAGATTCAAGTTCAGATACCGACACTCTCCTGCTTAACTGATGGCGTCTTGGTGAGGCACTCTTGTTCCTGTTAGCTGTTGAGTCAATTCCAACTCATGGTGACCCAAGGGTGCAGAAGAAACTGCTTTGTGGGGTCCCCAAGGCAGTGATCATTGGATAGCACATGGCTTGTCTCCTGTGACACCACTAGGTGGGTTTAAACTGCCAACATTTTGGCTAGGCATGCAGGACTTAACTGTTTTTGCCACCCAAGGACTCCTGGGGAGGAAAGAGAAAGGGGAGAATCCAGTTGACAGTGGTGGCTTGGAAGCCAATTGAACATGTTTCACAGAGAAGGGAGGGACCAATGGTTTCACAATTGATGATGAAAGTGGGACATCAACAGCTCTGCTGAACCTGCAAAGCCAGGAGACTGGTGTCTCTCATGCCTGTCATACCTGGGCCAGGCATTCTCCTCCTTAAGTAACATGAGTAGTGATTATACTTTTTGATGTATTTCCCCAGATGCAACCCCCTTGAACTCCTACTTGAAGATGAGCTACTTCAGGATCCCCAGATATTTACCTACAATATGTGTAGTCCTGGGGCACTGGGAGTCACTGGTGACTCAGCATGTCCCAGAATGAGTATGTGATCCCCCAAGAGATAATTAATACCATTGTTTGAGAATCACATCATTAGATAATCTCTCAGTATTATCTGGACTGCAGACTCTTCCCTGAAACTTTGGTAATGAATACACTTTGAATATAGCTCCTTTGCCTGAAAACCAAATAGGAGGCCTTCCCATCATTAAAAGTAAAGGGGCTCACCAGAACTTTAGACATGAGCTAACCAAAATCATAACCAAACTCACTGTTGTCACAGTGTGTCTGACTCATAGTGACTCCTCCTTGGGTTTTTGAGGTGGTATCACTATGGAAGTAAATTGCTTAATCTTCCTTCTGAGGAGTGGCTGATGGGTTTGAAGTGCCAGGGTTCTGGTTAGCAGTCAAATGCCTTAGGGCATTAGGCCACCAGAGCTCCCAGACATGAGACACCTTAGAAAAAATAATTTAAAAACATCACTAGAGTGTCTACCATTCAAAAGAGGTAAGCTATCCTGAGAGGACCAACATGGATAATACCCCTTCAGTCTTCTTCATATACATCATTAGATATTAGCTAAGGTCCCTGGGTGGTGTAAATGGTTTGTGTTCAGCTGCTAACTAAAGGCTGGTGGTTCAAACTCAGGTAGCAGTAGTATAGAAGAAAGGCCTGGTGATCTGTTTATGCTAAGATTATAGCCAAGAGAATGTTGTGTATCATAGTTGTATTCTGCAATACACAGAGTCATGGAGTCAACTCAAAAAAACTAACAAAAATAGGATATTCTTTGCACCTCCATGTGGGTGGTATTATAGCCAGAACGGCTGACTACATTTTTCCTGTGCTGGCATCTTGAAAACAAAACCCTATAAATCCTTTGTGGTGAGAAGCATCCATACTTGCTCAATTTGTGGCAAAACAAGAAGTAGAGATCTCTTATTGTTAGGTGTTGTGAGTCATTCTGATTCATAATGACCCACTGTACAGCAGAATGAAACAGTGCCCAGTTCGGCACCATGCTTACAAACCCTGCTATACCTGAGCCCATCATTGCAGCCAGTGTGTCAATCTATCTCATTGAGGGTTTTCCTTTTTTGCACTGACCTCTATTTTACCAGCATGATGCTGTTTTTGAGGAATTCATCCCTCTTGATGACATGTCTAAAGTACATGAGACAAGGTCTCACTATCTTTGCTTTTGAGGAGTACTTTGGCTGTACCCCTTCCAAACCCGATCTGATTTTTGGCAGTCCCTGGTTTAGTCAATCTTCTTCACTAACACCATAATTCAAAGGCATCAATTCTTCTTCAGTCTTCCTCATTCACTGGCCAGCTTTTGCATGCATGTGAGGCTATTGAAAATATCCTGGTGTGGGTTAGATGTACCTCAGTTCTCAAAGTGCCATCTGTGCTTTTAACAACTAAAGAGCTCTTCTGCATGCAGAGTTATGCCCAGTGCGCTTTGCCACTTAGAGTCCTTCCAGGTTAACATATATTTAGTCATCTTCATTTGTATATATTCTGAATGGGGATTTGTAGAGTAATAATTCCAGAACCTAATCTCTCTCTTGGTGCAGAGAAGGCTTTGCCTTATGAGACCAACTAGAAATGTTCAAATTACCAAAATGCCTATTATTGATCAGTCAGCCAGTTGATGATGTGGATAGAAAATGGTGCAAATTGTTTTGCTTACTCCTGTTTGCTGTGCTTGGCCAGTTCAAGGATCAAAGGCTGCAGGACCCCTCAACTGGAAACAACTTTTTGAACTCTATTCCTGTCTTTTTCTTGTCAGAGTTTACAAAAGTGATGCAACTTTTTTTTTTTTTAATCTATTTAGATCAACTAATTCACAAACACTTCTAGTGTGTTTTACAAAAAATTATTAATTTCAAGACAATGAAAATTTGCCTGGATTTTTTTGGTATGGAAGCACCTAGAAGGACCACTCTATATTATAAAATTGGGCCCAAAAAGTGTGTCATATAATTTATAGGCTGTATTTTAAGACTGTATTTTGTAGAATATATTCAGATCCCCTAAAAAAGAGTAGTCTTACTAAGTATTTGGAGCCCTGGGAAGTGCAAATGGTTAACATGCTTGGCTGTTAACTTAAAGGTTGGCAGTTCAAGTCTACCCAGAGGCAACTTGGAAGGTCTGATGTTGTGTTCTGAAAGTCAGCCATTGCAAATTCAGTGGAGCACACTTCCTCTCTGACACACGGGGGAGCCAGGAGTTGGAGTCAACTCCACAGCAACTGGTTCACATTGTGGTTTCAGCATATGAAAGGTAATATTTTATTCCTTGAAAAGTTATCATGACATGTGTAAATATTTCAGCTTTGCTGTTGAAATAGGACCAAATGCAGGTCCCTGCCCAGTGCACGCTCAGGTCAAAACAGTTTACATACTAAGTGATTAAGAGGAGAGAAAATTATTTATTACAAAGCAGCAATGCAAAGAGTAGGGGTACCTCTGTACCCAGATCTGACTCCCTGAATCTCCATCAAATTACAATTTTGTAGATTTCAGAAGAGAGGGTTATGCACATTCATAAAAATTTCAGGAATTTGGGCATGCAATGGTTGACAATTGGCTGAAATTTCCTTCATCTTGGTTTAAAGGAAAAGTAGTAATTTGAGTCAGTAAATTGAGTGCCTGTATACCGGATGAATGACACCAGCTTTCTGTCATCAGCTGATCAGAGCTTAGGCAGAGGGGAGTGTTTGTTCCCAGTAACTTTGTTCCTCTCTGCCCTACTGCACATGTCCATGGGCCAGAGTTAATTTTCAAGTTGTTTTCTAAGAAACATTACATGTTTATCACTTGTACCTATGGAAACAGCAGGAAGGATTTTTTTTTTTTTTTCCATTCAGTCTTAAGGAACTGAGCTTATTGTATTTACTCATCTGTCTCCAACTGGGATCGGGGGGGTGGGGAAATAGTTGAGGGTAATTAAGTTTACTTATCTATCTATTCCCATCCAGGTTCCTATCTGTTCTAATTATCTGTCTTAACCAGGGTGGAGTCAATAGTGTTGACTTTACTCAGTTTCATTGTCATCCTTGGTTGTTGAATAAAAGGGACTGTCTTTTGACTGGGATTTCAGACCCCCTCTGCGTCACCAGCTCTGGCTAGTCTCTGGCTTGTAAACTCCACCATCAACAGTGACAGCAGCGTGACTGTGACAATCGTTTGAGATCTTCCTGAGGAACAAGATATCCCCATGCAAAGTGTTTTGGAGAGGGATGGTCAGCAGCAAGTCCCTTGTCTCCATCAAAAAGAAGCAGAGAGAGACTATGGA